CAAGGGCTGGTTTACTTCTTACAATTCTAGTTTAATTACTATTTATATTACTTTATACTTATATTTACTTCTTGCAATAATAATCTTTGAGTCACTTTCTTGCAAAATAAGAAATTGAGATCTAATAGGTTTTTTTTTATGTTATGTAGGCCCCTATATGATTTTTTAAAAATCCACATTTATGGCTATAGTCACAGACTTATAACAAACATTTGAAAACACATCACCATTCTTAGGAAAATTTACTAGTAAAAAAATGTTAACTTACTGTAATTGTTTTCTTCTAGTAATTTTCTCCCTCAAGATCCTAAAAAATAGGAATTGCTGTAAGTGTAAGCCACCTTAATAATGTTTGTGTGTGGGGAGGTCTGAAGCATCCTTAAAAATAAATATACCAGAAAAATATATAGCAAGGAAATGTCAGTATTTTTCAGTAAGTCAGAAATAATAGAACATCAGTTGAGCATAATAATGTTTCTTTGTTAAGAAGATTTATTTTCTTTGCTGATCATCATGTTGACATTTCCAGCAGATGGCATTATTACACTAAAGAATCAAGTAATATAGGCCATTCTTTTAGTAAATGAACATTTTAGAAAGGAATGGAAGAGGGACAGGAATTATTACTTATTGAAGTCTATTAGGTCCTGGTCCTTTTATATGTGTAATTACACTTAATGCACACAGTGACCCTTATGAGTAGGCATTATTATAAACAAAGGCTGGAGGGATTTAAGAAGTTTAATGTTCACAAAGCAAGTTAAGCGACAGGAACAGGATTATAATCTAGAGCTGGCTGATTCAAAATACCTGGGTGGCTACTATACTTAGAATCTGTGGTATTACAGTGAAAACATTCTTTCTATAGAAACAGTTTCAAATGAATGAGGTTGACACTTTCCTTTTTTTTTTTTTGTGGAGGGAGAGTTTAGAGTGTTGTTGTTTTAATGAAATATTCTCAACTTTTAAAAAATGCAGAAAGGCATTTCCGTCATGGTGGAACACAGACCTCTGAAAATCTATTTTTTTGTAAAAGCAACGAGAGCACTGCCTCCACCCCCCCAAAAAATGAAAATCAATGGGTTTTCAGAACTCTCAGAATTAAAGATTGCAGTGATCTGGAAGGTGTTCATACAAGAAAAATTACTGAGTGTGGTAAGAACAGCAATATCTGTGGCCTTGTAAGTTTTTCTGTTCTCATTCTCTTTTCCCTAGCACCATGGTATTTTTGAAAACCAGTAACCTTGTAGCCACAATAGCTGTGAAATCTAGCAACTTAGAGATATTAGAAAGAGGAAAAATGGGGTTGAATATCTCTCACATGCCTTGTTCCAAGAGAATTTTTTTTTTAGGATTTTATTTATTTGAGAGTGTGTGTGTGTGTGTGTGTGTGTATGAGAGATAGAGAGAGATAGAGAGAGAGAGCATGACGGGGGAAGGGTAGAGGGGAAGGGAGAAACAGGCTCTCTGCTCAGTCCCGATGTGGGACTCGATTCCAGGACCCTGGGATCATGATCTGAGCTGAAGGCAGATGCTTAATTGACTGAATCACCCAGGTGCCCAAGAGAATTGTTAATAATTTGACCTAACAAATCCCTGGGAAAGCCCTTCACAGAATTGTTTTATATTCAATATGACTCTGAATTCACTCAGTGGGAGAAGCTCTTTCCCTTGGAGTCCATCAAGAAGTCATCAGTATCAATTATTTAGTGTTCCAGCTATCTGAAAAAATACCAGTTGACCAAAACAAGAGTCTGAATGTAAAACCTAAATGAAAAATTAGGGTCACAGAATGTTCATTGGGGGCTTTTAGAAGCTTGAAATTACAGGTGATCTTAAAGTCCACATGCATGTGAGAGCCGTAACCATGCCCTGGAGAGATCTGAAATAGCACTGATTTCTCATCTCTGGATGAATATAAAGTTCTGCACAAGGTGGAAGCAAAGGCTAAGGTAGAGTTGCAAATTTCAAAGCATTGGAGTTTTGCTCTGATACACACAGTGAGACCATCAGCAAAAGGTAAGAGTTTACTGGTTCAAGGTATTTAAGGAAATCTCTATCTAATCTTTAGCTTTCCATTAAGCTAATCAAAGACATCAGTGGTTACACACACACACACACACACACACACACAAACACACACACAAAGACTATAAAGAATTAGTCCAGGAAGGTTCCAAGCAAACAATAATTATTATTACAAAAAAAAAACGACAAGTAACAATGAAAATAAATAGTTGGTAAGGAGGAATCTCATTTTTAAAGTTACCACATTATAATATTATAACACCCATTTTTGGCAAAAACATTATCAGGCAAGGAGAGAAACAAGGAGATATCCATACAAAGGGGGAAAAATCAATCAATGGAAACTCTTTATGAGGAAGCCCAAATGATGAACTTAACAGAACTGGAACTTTAAGCTTATGAATAAGTTTAGAGAACTAAAAGAAACCATGTCTTAAAAAATTAAAGTATGACAATGATGTCTTGCAAAAAAATAATAATGCAACAGAAATTATAAAAATACCAAATAGAAATTGCAGTATTAAAATGTAATGGTAAGCATTAATTTAGTATTTTAGTATTAATTTTAGTACTTAAAAAAGTACAATAAACGCGGTAGACATTCACTAGAATCCTATTCACTAGAAGTACCCAAGAACAAATTTAAATTGGCAGAAGAAAGTATCAGTGAACTTAAAGATAGGTTATTTGAGAATATATCCCGTCTAGGTAACCAAAAAATTGAATGAAGAAAAAAATCAGAGCCTCAGAGACCCATGGGACACCATTAAAAATACCAATATGCATATAATGGAAGAAAAGAAAAGGGGCAGGAAGAATACTTGAAAAAATTATGGCTGAAATCTTCCCAAATTTGTCGAAAGCTATAAATCTACATATTTAAGGAGCTCAAGAAAATCCGAGTAAAATAAACACAGATATTCACAACTGGATACATTATAGTCAAACTGTAGAAAACTAAAGGCAAAGAGAAGAGTCTGGAAAGCAGGAAGAAAAAAATGATTTTTCAAGATATCTTCCATAAGATTAACAGCTAACAACAGGGAAACGAAGACTTGAACAACAATATAACTTTACTTAAACATAAAAGATATCTATCAGTATATAAAGAACAAACTCAACCCATAGGTAAGTAGAAGGAAGGAAATACTACAGATTAAAGGAGAAATAAATGGAAATTGAAAGGCAAAATTGAGAATCCAGAAGTCAAATATTTGGTCCTTGAAAAGATCAACAAAATTGACAAGTCATTAGCTAGGATAAACAATAAGGAGCTAGATTCATTACCAGAGTCAGGAGTGAAAGTGGGTATCACCACTGACATCTACACATTTGAAGAGATTTATAAGAAAACATTGTGAGCGACTATGCCACAAACCATATAACCTTTGTGAAAAGAAAAAAAATCCTAGGAAGACACAAACTACTCAAACTGACTTAAAATGCAATCTATGTTCACAGATCAGAAAACTTATTGTTGTTTTAAGATGATAATATTCCTTAAATTGATCTACAGAGTAGATGTAATCTCTATCAAAATCCTACCTGCCTTTTTTGAAAAATGGCCCTAATAGTCATATGAAAATTCAAAGAACCCAGATCAAAACATATTACAAAAGAACCAAGTTGGAGCATTCACATTTCCCAATTTCAAACCTTTCTATAAAGCTACAGTAATGAAAACAGTGTGTTCACTGGCACAAGGATAGATAAATGGAATAGAATATAGACTGCAGGAATAGCTTCTTAGCTTTGTCAATTGATTTATAAAGAGTGCCAGGACAATTTAGTGTGAACATAATAGTGTTTTTAACAAATGGTGCTGGGGCAACTAGATTTTTATATGTGAAAAAATGGACTTGGACCCTATATCACACCGTAAAAAATATTGACTCAAAATAAATCAAAGTCATACATTTAACAGCCTGTATAGCTCTTAGGAGAAACACAGGAGTAATTCTTCATGACCTTGGGTTAGACAGTAGTTTGTTAGATATGAAGTCAAAAGCACAAGAGGCAATATTATATGTCAACTATAATCCAATTTAAAAAAATTACATAAGAGACCAAAAAATAAATTGAACTCTACCAAAATTAACGAAACTTCTATGCTTCAGAAAACACCATCAAGAAAAAGTGGAAAGGCAATGTACAGAATGAGAGAAAATATTTGCAAATCAAATGTCTGATTTAAAAGTATATGTCAAGAGGATAAAATTCTTAAAATTCAAAACCAGACAACTCAAAGATGGGCAAATATTTGGAATAGATATTTCTCCAAAGAAGATACAGAAGTGACCTACCTATAAGCACGTGAAAAGATGTTCATCATTAATTATTAGAGTAATACAAATTAGAACCACCATCATTAATGGTAGCTAAAATTAAAATTAAAAACTGTAATAGGCAATAACAGCACTTGTTATTGTAAGAGTATGGAGAAATTAGTACCCTCCCATATTGCTGCTGAAATTGTTAATGGTGCAGCACCTTGGTGAACTGTTTGACAGTTCTTCCAAATGGAAAACTTAAAGTTACCATGATTAGATCTACAAACTTTACTCTGTCAGTATGAAGCCCTGTACACTGATGTTCAGAGCAACATTATTCATATTACCCCAAGTGTAAATAACTCGTTTCCAACTAATGAGTGGATAATTAAAATGTAGTATATCGTCGATACAGTAGAATAGTATTTAGCAATAAACATGCTATAGCATGGGTGAACTTTGAAAACATGTTATGTGAAAGAAGCTAACAAAAAAAGACAACGAAAGATGGCACATTATACATAATTCCACTGATATGTAAATGTCCAGAAAGATTAGTTGATGCCTTGGCTTGGCAAGTGGGGAAAGAGCACTGGAGTGACTGCTGCTGATGGGTATGGAATTTCTCTTTGGGGTAATGATTCACAATTCTGTGAATATACTAAAACCCACTGAAATATACACTTTTTTTTTTTTTAAAAGGTGAACTGTATGGGATGCCTGGTGGCTCAGCGGTTGAGCATCTGCCTTCAGCTCGGGACGTGGTCCTGGAGTCCTGGGATTGAGTCCTGCATCCAGCTGCTTACGTGGAGCCTGCTTCTCCCTCTGCCTATGTCTCTACCTCTTTCTGTGTGTCTCTCATGAATAAATAAATTAAATCTTTTTAAAAAGTGAACTATATGGTGTGGATATTATCTCAGTAAAACTCTATATATAACACAAATGCAGGTTTTCTTTTTGAACTGAGATAAAGTGTCCCTATCCTTGGGGATGTGTAGGAAGAATATCTAGCATACATTAAACACTTTCTTTGGGTCAATGACTTTAGAAATATGATCTCACTTGAAATGACCATCTTTGTCATATTCTTATTATCCTTGTCAGTTTACAGATAAGGAAATGTTATGTGAGAGGTTAACTACATTCCACAGGGTCACACATCTAATAAGTGCTGGAGCCCAAGTCTATCTTTTTTGCAAAGCTTATATACTCTTTATCCTCCATTCTGTGGTTCATTAGAAAGATGTTTCATTGTTTTCATTATTATGTTATATGTTATTATTTTATGTGTATATGATATGTCTGTTTTTGCTCTAGGAAAGATGATAACTGCCCCCATGTTAGTTTTGATCACCAGCAAAAACAAGTTGAGAAAAAAATGTCAATTTTCTCTTTTCACACCACTTTATTCATTGCTAAATTCAAAGTTGGCCAGTCTGTGGCATTCTAGTTCGTATACTGAATAGACTTGGTACTGTGTTTACAAATGCTTCTTACCTGTTTGTAAACTGAAGTTGAACTCTAAAATAAGAAAGATGAATGTTTCAAAGGAGGGGATTTTCCTTGATATAAAAATAAGAGTATTCTCTCAAATTGATTAATAATGTAGGCTTTCACATCCACAAGGCAGTTTAGAAAAGCAAGGAATAATCTTAGTTTTCAAGTATATGCATTGATTTTGGAGTCGGTATTATCATATTGAAGTTGAAGTGCTTTTGAGAAAATCATACATGCATCTAGGTGGGGTTTGTTAACATTTTTCAATCACAAAAAAATCACATATAATATTCTTTTAAAAGGCAGACTACCTTAATACATTGATAATGAATCTCTGTACAGAATGTTTGAGGAACAGGATACTTACTCTCCCTGGGTCTCATTTTCTAAAATGTAGCACAGTATTAGGGAGTCCTGAGGGTCCTTTCCAGCTTTTTGATTATATAACACTCTGACTAGCACACAGGCACACCTGCAAACCTGCTGAGAGTTCCTCAGAATCATTAATGATTATTCATGGCAAGGGAAGCAGAGGTAACATTGACTCTGAAAGCCGATCCTTCTCACTGTAGAAGTGCACTCTTGTGTTACAGTGTTTTTGTATATGAGAAATGCCACCTGCCAGTACTTGAAGGTCTCTGAGCACGAGGGATCGACCCAGTGCCCTTCATGTTAAAACATCTCCTGCAAGCCTAGCATAGTGTACCTGTGGTGAGGGCCAGTAGTATGGATGCTCACATTGATGTTTTTCAGAGCTTCTGCTACACATATCCAGCTTGATCTTTGTCTCTTGCCAAAAGAGTCATGATAAATCTGGGGTATCTTTTTTTTTTTTTTTTTTGGCTGTTTTGCTTTTAATCAGAATTTTTTTTTTGAAGCACACTAACTGAATGCCCTCTCTGTGCCTTACACATGACTTAAGTGGGATTCTACAGTAAAAAACAGTACCTTATTTGAAATGGGAGCAATATATGCTAATATTACCTCAGAAAAATTATAAATGATTCACAGAATCACAAGTTTTTATTCTTGATCCTTATCTTGCCGTTGTAGAGCAAATTAATTTTTAGTGATATGAACTAAAATTATTCATGAATTTTCTACTAGCATAATTAATAGCCTAAAATTAGGACAATTTCTAAAAAAAATTAGGATAATATTTTAAGTTTAACTTTCTTTTTAATTAGCAAGTTAAGGTAAAAAAAGATAGATTAAAACACTATTTAAATATCAAATTTGCTTTAAAGCCTTTTCTTTTTGTTTCAATTCCCAGGGTAGTTTGGCCTAGGACTGGGATGAGGCAAGGTTGCCACAATGAGCAGCCATATATTGGGAGGAGTTGAACAGGATTTCTAGGGACTAGTTATTTTTGTTGCTGAAAGTAGTCAGGGCTAGCTATGTTCTAAATTATTGCTACTTATAACTTCGGGAGCTTAAAGAACCAGGAACCAGCAACAATGAACTAAAAGAACACCATTTTGAACCCTGGAACTCTTCAGAATGCACAAAGCCATTCTCTCCCTGTAGTTACATCTTACAATTAATTTTTTTCCTAAGAAAATAAGAAAAATATATGCTCAGTGTATAAATTTTAGAATAGGAACCAGGGATGCCTGGGTGGCTCAGCAGTTGAGCATGTCTACCTTTGGCTCCCAGCGTGATCCTAGAATCTGGGATTGAATCCCACATCAGGCTCCCTGTGAGGGGCCTGCTTCTCCCCCTGCCTATGTCTCTGTCTCTCTCTGTGTGTGTCTCTCATGAATAAATAAATTAAATCTTTAAAAAAAATTCAGAATATACAAAATACAGAGGGAAAAAGATTAAAAATGTTCTTGTTGATATATTGGTATGTTTCATTCTAGCTATGATGGTCTTTTAATAAACTTTGTACTTCGTGAATCTAGCCTATATTTGTGAGGAATTTTGCTGAAATGGTAATGAGATAGTTCTGGGGAAGTTGTATCAAATGGTTCTATATCCTGAGAGAAACATGGGTTGACATGAAATTAAGAAACCCCTTAGAATTTCTTTTAAAAAAATAAGAAAAAGAAGGAAAGAAAAGGAAAAGAAACGAAAAGAAAAAGAGTTTTATTTCAGTCCAAATAAGGATAGCTGCCCGGGATACATAACCTTCACAAAGAAAAGAATGCTCCAGAGAAGGAATGTTTAATACAGGGTTACATATGTTTTTTTGTTAAATCAAGAGTTACAAATCATCATGATGAAGGACATTTCAGAAAATTAAAAACTTTATCTTATGTGTTAGTATGTGCTCTTTTTTAAATGATTTTATTTATTTATCCTTGAGAGACACAGAAAGAGAGAGGCAGAGACATAGGCAGAGAGAAGCAGGCTCTATGCAGGGGGCCTGACTCGAGACCCGATCCTGGTACTCCAGGATCACGCTTGCCCTGAGCTGAAGAAAGACATGCTTAACTGCCGAGCCACCCAGGCGTCCCTAGTATGTACTCTTGAGAAGCTAACATTTAAGAGATGGAACAAGAAATTAGCACAATACATACTTTTATAAAAGATGATAAATGCTATGGAAAAACTAAAATGGAATAAATAAGATCAAGAGTGTAGTGGGAAGAAGAGGCTTGGGGCTGGGTAGTTTGCTATATTAAATAGTGCAGGGGACTTCACTGAGAAAGTGAGGTCAATAAATATACAGGGGAGAAGGAGTTAGCCAAGTGGGTACATGAGGAGAGAGCATTCCAGGCTGAAGAAAAGATAAGTGCTCAAGATAGGTCCATCTCCAGCATGTGTCAGGATCCGGGAAGAGATTGTGGATGTAAGCAGAGTAATAAAAAAAAAGAAGGGCAGGTAGGTTTTGTAGGGCCTTGTCTGACTCATTAACAGTAAGAAAGGATTCATTTGTAGGTTTTAATCAAAGGAGTAAACTGATCTTACTTGCCTTTCAAAGGATCATTTTGGCTGCTCTATTGACAATAGCCTTTTTTGTTGTTTTTTATAGAATTCCATGGTTACTGCTATTCTCTGATGCATAAGACTAAAACAGGAGAGCTAGGGAAGGGTTATATATAGGTAAAAGATGGTGATGGTTTCAGGGTGGTATCAGTGAAATAGTGAGAAGTGAATGGACTCTGGATGTATTAGGTATGTAAAGTCTATAGTATTTCCTTTGTGATAAAGCAATTTTGTCTAGTAGCCAGCTATACCAAACATTTGGCAAAGGACTTTATGAAAAAAATATTTTGCGGGGTATTTTAATCCAATGTTAATATGTTATCATCAGATTCATCTTTCTCCTAAAATTTATGATAACTGGTGTTGTGGTTATTGCTGTACTTAAGTCACTAGACTTTTTAAATATGTGTCTGGTGGGTTTCATGGCATGTAAACAAGATAACTTATGAGGTGGTAGAAATTATATCTGTACTTTTCCCAATGGCTTTAGATGGAATATACTTTCAGCTTGTTTCTTCCTTCCATATATTCTGTGCTTTAACCCCTGAATATCTAAATAATTATTCATGATATGACTCTCTAGGTTATGCTGGTTTAGTTAGTATACTTTCTATGTTATGAACTATAGTTCTTTTAAATTAATGCCTTTAAATTATGAGGCATATAGTATTGTATTATTGCTGACCAAGGTCTTTTGTGAGAGGCTGTTATGAATGCAAAATTTGGTTCAATTGAGAGGCACATTTGGATGACTTCATAAATATTGATGGAAATACATACTGATTCAAGAAAATTACAATTTCCATGGTTTGATCAAATAATGCAGTTCTGCAACAATGTTGCTTTTATCCGTCAAATTGAGGTTTTCCTCAACAGATAGCATTGGAATTTTCTGCTATTTAAGTTAGACATGGCACCATATTTAATCATCCAATTATCTTTTAATGGTGTCTTTACTATAGGAGTATGTTGTCTTGGGTAAAAACAGATGGGTGTGATAAGCACACCCTTATAACTAGTCTTTTTATTTTTGTTTATTTTACTAAAATAAAAATAGTAAAAACTACTTTTGGCTAGCAGTCTAAATTGTTAGCCAAATATTTAACTATATCATCAGCTAGTGGAATTAAAATCAACATAGCTATTATACTTGTAGCCATTGCGTATTGTGTTTTCATTAAGTACAGACACTTAAATAATGAAATAAATCAGTTTTCTCCAGTTAACCTATGGCCTAAATCTCACATTTAACCTGAATATTATGAATATCTGTGTTTGATTAAGGGCATGACAAATGTATGATTTGTTTTAAGGTCAAAAAGACTAGAAATTTAAAGACGTTAAGTAGGCAGGTCACATTTCTTCTTGTGGCTTATAAGTGAATAAATTATTTTAATTGCTTAACATTATACTTTCTGAGACAGATATTGCGATAGCATGGTTATCAAGGAATGATCTT